ATTTACAAAATAATATGCTGTAAATATTCAACAAGTTTCCTAGATAATATTTTACAAAGTTTTTTTCTATCCCAAACATGATTTTCCACCTTTTGCAAGTTTTTTTTTAAACCACCGACCAAAAATATTTCTTTACCATAATATAAGACAAAAAGAGAAAAAAATTCTTCAAAATTCGTTTTGTCAATTTCTGTTATTAGGTAAACTTAATCAGATATGTATGTCATTTTCAAAAATGATTTGAAATACGCAAATCGGCAAAAAATACCATCTGTCAAAATCTTAACATGCAAAATTTGGTAAAAACAAAACATTCACTTATAAATGGCTGTCCGTTTCAAGGATTAAAGCTGTCAGATGACGTTTCATTAGAGTTTTTTAGGAAAAAAAATCTTGCGGGTTTTTTTTTAATGACTAATAGAATAATATTTATTACAAAATTCAAACCTTTATTTTTATTTTTTCTAGTACAATTATCTTTTGTACAGGTATCAAAAAATAACTTATGAATTATGAAAGTAATTAAAAAATTCCAACAAATCGCCTCCCGAGAGCTTTAGCATTTGAGCTATTTATGTAAATTTGTATTTAAAAATATCGTAAATAATAATGAAATGAAATTTGAAAACCAGGTTTTAAACTGTACACTTAAATTCTCAGTAATTCTATGAATATAAGAACAGATATAACTTTGATATCGAATGCATATGCCTATGTACTCGTATATGTAAACAATTATTTATAACATGTATTCACAATTTTCATCAACTCAATTAAGCTAAAATGAATAATTTCTGAAATACATAATTACTTTTTAAATTATTGTTTTAATAATTTTGACTGATATGAACATAGCTCGCATTTACTTTATTTACGAAAGATAATTTATATTACATGGGTCACACTTATGTGAATAGTAACGTAATAACAGTTGTTCTAGCGCCACTTTTTTATGAAAGGATTTAATTGGAAATTAAAATCAAAATATTCAAAATATTTTATGATTACTTTCATTGCATTGAAAACTATTTTATATTTTCAAAGTTTTCCTAACGCTTTACTTTAAAGCTTCCATTACCCACAATTCAGTAATATTTTACTTAATGCTGTAAAAGGGATAATAACAATAATTATAATGTGTAAAAACATGGTGCAAGAATAATGAAAACACTTTAGTTATTGATTTTTATAAATTTCCCAAGTCATAAAAACACAGTAATATTCATTAATTTTTAATCGTATCTAGCCATCGACACTACAAATTCAATTTTCAAGTTTTTCTTTCATTCAAGAATGAAATCTCATATTACGTCTCTATAGACTCTTTTGAAAAACATATTAAATATTGTATTTTATTTATTTTCTTCAGTATTGAAAAACTACATATTATGCATATGTATTCCAAGGTCATTTAATGTACGCTATAACTGTATTATAATTTACAAAACATACTATATTTTTTCATATATTTTAATATTTCAATAACAAATTCATGGACGAAACATTGAATTTTTATTTATAAATAAAATTAAATGATTTCATATTATCCTTTATATCCTTCCAAATCTAAAATATAGAAGCGCATACAAGAACAAATATTTTTTATTTAAAAAATACATTTTGAGATAAACTGCATATATTATAAATAATAAAGCACTTAAACAAACCACAAAAGTGCAATTTAGAGTATATAGTGTACATTGCGGACATAAGTATATAGCTTAAAAGTAAGCTTAAATTGTAAATTAACATTAATGTATTACTTTTGATTAAGAAAACTGTAATTGCTGTTTCACATACAAATCTTCCAGTATTTATGCATTTATCAACTATGTACTAAGAAATAGAACTTTCAATTTCATATAAATGTATTAGTGCGGTTTCAGAAAAAAATAAGTTTTTGCAGACGGTTAGTTTTGAACCGATGATACGTTAAGCATTCCAAGCATTCCATTTTTAATAAAATAGTTTCAGATTATTATAATAAAAATTTAGAATTCTTAAATTACAAAAACTCGTACACTATTTTTTGAATTCATAAATTAAATTATAACTTTTTAGGAACAACTTGTTTTAATAATAAAAAACTGTATTAATCAGTTTGAGCCATAACTCCAAATTAAAAACCGTGTTAGAATAAAAAAAATCCGAACTTTTATTGTAATAATAAGGCCATTAAACGAGAATGTTGTTTGCAAATCGCTTGCAGGAACATCTATAAAGCCACTTTGTCTTTGCCAACACGAAAACAAAAGCGTTAATGGTAGAAATCAATGTCCTAGAATAACGTTAAGAGAAAGGAACACTTAAATTTAACAAATTTTTAATTTATTTTTTTCATTTAAATTATTTTCACAAAAAATTTAAATTATATTTTCTTAATAACATATCTAGGTATAATATTTTTCATTCACATATACCTACATATACGCTGAATTTAATACAATACGAGTATAAGTATGTATAAATATATACATAGATAGACTAACATTCTATATGTACAATTATACCGCATTTATAAATTTAAGGCACAATTTTACCATAATACCCACATTACATGTTTTAAATTACAAAATAATATATTACGCATTATAATCAACAAAGCAGAAGTAAGGCAAATATATGTATGTATGTGTGTGTGGATGCTTTTTATAAAAAAAAAATGAAAATAAAAAAGAAAAATCCATACAAATTTAAAAATTAACTCTATTACCGAAAATGGTGAAGGACATTATACATTAGTCAACATTTTATTTTTTTTTTATTTCTGTTAAATAAATATCCCTACTTTCTTTTTGACACATTTCCAACAAAATTCGAAAAAATATGGTTATTAATTTTTTTCTGTCCGTCTATGCGTGTGCTTCAGGGCTTCTACACCCTCTTAGATAAAAAAGTGATATTTTATACACAAATACTTACTGTGAAACATATTTCTCTAAAATAATTCTAGTCTTCCGCCACCTATTTCAAAGTTAGGATTTCACAAATTCTTTGTTTACAATTTAATGAATCCACACCGCTAACATTCCTAGCACTTTTCTCTTCAACAAGTGAGAATACTGCTTTTAAATACAGTCTATGTACACCTCCCACACTATTAAAATTATTTTCATTCATAAACGAAACGATTGCATATTATATTTAGGATGAGCGATTTATGCAGTCTTTGAAATAAAGTAAAAATTAATATAAAGAGGGGTTAACATAATGCTCGATTTTAAGGTTTAATTGTGTGAGTTAGGAAAAATAATTATGTGTATTTTTTAAGGTCATGGAGTTTACCTCTAGCTTTTTATGTTTATAGAAATTTGAAAACGTTTGCGGTTTCGGAAATATAAGGCGCCAAAAATTCAAATTTTACAAATTTCAAGAGGCGATAACTTGAGAGGGGGTGGAGATGGAAAAAAATTTTCTTCTAACGAAATGAACTATTTGTTAATTTCTATAAGCCCCTAAAATTTCAAGCTTCTACAGGCTGGGGTCTAGAAGAAAAACGAAATCAAAAATTTGCAAAAAAAGGCTTTAGATAACGGTAAATTTGAACGGCCATTTTGTTTTTCTTAAGTTTAACTATAGTAATGCGCGCTAGGGAAAGCCAGCCGCTGCCTTTCTGCGTTTGCAAAATTTCAAAAATGCTTATGGTTTCATTGCAACAAATAGTTAAAAAAGGCCATTTTTAGGGTTTTGGGGGGGTATAACTTCTAGAGGGGGTGAGATAAAAAGAGGTAAAAATTTTGTTCTACAGAAATAAGTTTCTAGTAAAGATCTATGTAATTTCAGCTTTCTATCTTCAAAGGTGTAGAAGTTTTGTAAACAGACACACGGACAGACGGACGGACGGACGGACAGAGTGAAACTAATAAGCACTTTTTTTCAAAAATTTTTTGGAAAAGTGCTAAAAATTCCTGATTATATGAAATATAACTACATACATACTTGATTTTAAGGCTAGATAGTTCTAAGCAAGTAAATAAAATCGAATTTAAATAAAATTTTAATTTAAAAATGTTTTACTTTATGTTCTTAATTATGTAGAAATCTCAAAAAATTACCACTTATACCATTTGATTTCTATTTTAGCTTACGTGAACTATTGAAATCCATATTTCACTATTTTTAGTAATTTTGAGAATTCTATAAAAAACTTGTACATTTTTGACTTTGAAAAGATTCACACATAAACTACGTAATCACTTTTAGAAGGAAATGTGTTTATTCTAAACCGAAGTAGTGTTTTTTTATAATATATTACTTATTTGTGTAGATTACTTTATTATAATGTTGTAAATTTAGGCTGCAATATCCTTTTTCTCTTTATTAATAATTTATCAAATTTCAATCGATTTTACCTTTTTTAGGTACGTACTTTAGAGCTTTTAAATTTCTGTAAGTATACGAGTACAATAAGCAAAAATCGATTTTGCTACTTTCATTTTTCATCTTTTAAATTTCAGAAATTTTCTTTGAAAATTTTATTTTATTTTGTAATTTTTTTTTCTCCCTCTTCCTTTCAACTTTCATATAAAACTGTTTGAAATATTATTAACGAGAGAGATTATTAATTTAAAAAAACTGATGTACTCAAAAGCTAATAAATTTGTAGTGTTCCTTTAAATGAGACGTAGTAAACCAATATCTCATCTATTTTTTACCTCATCCTCACATTTAGGATATCCACTAAATATTACTACCTCATCCTCAAATTTAGAAACAAAAAAATTAAGAACAGGAAATTAAAACCAACAAATTAAGAAAAAATTAAGAAATAGTTTAAAGAACTTTTTTATATAAAAAAACTTCACTAGAACATGTTAATTCCATATCCATACATATATTTAATCTATAGTTAATAAAATTCTTGGGAATGAAAATTTAGTTGTCCTAATTAGTTCGCCAAGAAATGGCTGTAATTCTCAAGAGTGGTATAATCCTCGTGTGTACAACTTTCTAAATTAAACCAATAATCTTTAAGTTTTTTATCAAATTGTGTTACTCACCCAAGAATGACTAATTCACCATATTTAATTCTAGGTTTTTCTTCTGGTTCATCTGTGAGTATAGGAGATTCAGTTCCATCAGTGCTGTAATAAAAATTAAAAAAAGAACATTAGAAATGTAATCTATTACTTTCGGCAAACAAAACAAATTATTTACCATACAAAAAAATTTGTTTTAAAAAAATTACTATGAGTTTAAAGAAATAACTAATTGCATTTCTGGACACATTGCAGTTTTACTAATTTGAGTCTTTACTCCACACTTAATTTTGAAGAAAATAATTTCATGTGTTACTGAGAAATTTTTGATTTTTAAAGTTTCAAAAAAGGTAATTAGGTATATACTTAACAAACCTTTTGCGAAATCTTCATACATATCTACATATGTCAATATAATAATAATAAGAAAATAAACAAACAGGTTTATGCGATTTGGATGATTCCAATATTTTTGCTTTAAAACTGTTAATTATAATAAACTAAAATTCTCTTGACGGATTTTAATCAAGCCAGATCAAACCGATGATCAGTAAAATAGAAGAAATTGATAGAATTAATTACAGTGTCTGATGTCTGTAAAATTTCGTTATTTTCCGTTACTTCTTTGCTTTAACAGAGATTCGATTTAATGGCAATGAAATGACGAAATTGAATATTTTTTACTTTGGAAAAGAAAATACTCAGATTAGAAAAAAATTCTTCTGGCAAAATGAGCCATTATTGATATCTAGAAGCCATAAAAATTTCAAAATTAAACAGTTTACACAGTTCCAGGCACATTAAATTTTCTTCAAGAAAAGAAAATTTAATTTAGTTCTTTTTCTCATAGAAAAAAAGTACTAAAAATTTGAAAAGACAAAGAATTTAAAATAACAATAATTTCAGGGGTCGTTCTACGACTAAGACTTTTTTATTTTGCATTTTTAATTATAACACAATTTGTTTACAAATTGAATTTGAAAAATTAAATTTCCAATATTTTGGCAAACTAATCAAAAGCCGGAAACAAGAACAAAATTTTTCCAACTAATAAGCCAATTTTATTTGCTCAAAAACACTAATCTACACATAATAACCGGAATGGATTGTAGATTTTGATGATTTTTAAGGGAACTGAGTGAGGCACAATATGCACCCGGGGTGCTTCATACAGTCATCTATTGACATATGTATATATGTATATAATCCAGAAGTAACTGTTTATAAATATAAAAAAAACGTCTGAGACATACTTAGGTTAAGAAAGTTAAATATAATATGTATATTATACTTTGTAAGACTTCCTTAATGAAATAATAAATCACATTCAAAGTGCTTTGCATTATTCTTTTTTATTTAGAAATACAACAAAAAACAACAGAAATTTAGATTCAATAAAGTGAAGCAATACAAAAACTGATTCAATCATTTTTAATAACATTTTTGTGAGCAGAATTAAACAAAAAACGAGAAAAAATAGAGTTGACCTTGTTAACTCTGTGATACTCGTACGAATTTTTTATCCTATGTACGAATAAATATGCTACAACTGACTATGAGACAAACTATGACTTTAAGTTGCCATATTACCATATTAATTTATGCCAAATTTCAGTATTGTGAAATTTGAATATTATCTAAGATATGGCCAAACTATACTACTAAAATTGTATGGCAGGTACCAGAAGGAGCCAAGTAATGTTAACGACTTTTATCAAACACATTGGACCCACTAATATATTCATTAATAAAAAAAACTCCTTTCGTATAATTAAAAGAATAATTAAAACACAGCATTCACATATTATTAAATCGATAATAGGTTATAATAATAGAATTACTAGTATTTTTGCAAATATGCTAAAAAATATAAAATGTTAAAAAAAAAAAAATCAATAAAAGTAATGTGAAAATTGTTGATTATTTTAATAAACTAAATTAATATTAAATTGTGTTTAAAATTTATAAACACAATAAATAAATAGATAAAAGTTGCATTCCTTCAATTTTTCTTTTGGAAATAGCTTACATTATGTACATAAGCGATAGATTATGGATATGTTACTAATACGAATACATTCTTGTTACATTCGATACACAACATTGAAAAATTTCCCAAAATATTATAAAAAAAATCTGATGTGGTCAGCACATAACCGACCGCATTGTGTATTGTCTAGTTAAATGAAAGTGTTACAGAATATTATAAAAATGTCTGTTAAATACTTCGTTCCAATTTTTAGGACATTAGTAAGCTTATAGTTAACATACTTAGAAAAATGTAAATTTGGCTCTTAGTAGAGTTTTGCTTTGTGCTACCCGAATTCTCTGAAATGCTCGCCAGTTAGTTTCGGTAACAACCAGAACTCAAATATCAAATTTCAAGAAATTCCATAAATTTGTTCTGTGGATATGGTGAAAAATGTAAAATCGGCCCGCAAATCAGTTCTCGAGCCCTGATCTTTCCAAAAAAGTTATATGTTCATTGGTTTAATATGAGGAATTCATATATTAAATTTCAATGAAATCGGTTGATTATTTCTCTTTATATACACAAAAGTGTATGTTTGGCCCGTAGTAAACGTCTAGTTGCCGATGCCTGATCTTTCCAAAAAATTTACATGTTCATTGTTTTAATACGAGGAATTCATGTATTAAATTTCAATGAAATCGGTTGATTATTTCTCTTTATATACACAAAAATGTATATTTGGCCCGTAGTAAACGCCCAGTTGCTGACGCCTGATTTCTTCCAAAAGTTAGGAATTTTTGCGTATGATCGAGCAAAGCTTATATATGAAATTTCAAGTAAATCGGTTGAATACTTTCTTCAAAATGGTGAGAAATGTAAAATCGGCCCGCTAAAAAGTGCAGTTCCCGAGGCCTGATATATACCAAAAGTTGATCGATCCGTGCCATGGTGGAAACAAACTTACATATAAAATTTCATCAAAATCGGTTCAGCCGAACTTGAGATACACGCGTGCACACACAGACCGACAGACCGACAGACCGACAGACCGACAGACCGACAGACCGACAAACCGACAGACCGACAGACCGACAGGTTGCTAAAAGTAGTTTATTTACACTTCCCTACTATGGAGAAGTACGCTCCCACCGAAAACTCGATATGCAAAATTTGTTGCCATCACATAACCTACCTATTGTTTACACAATACGGTCGGTAAAAATAATTTAGTATAAAAATACATCATTACTTTTAGTAATAATTTTTTAAATTTATTACGTGTTTCGATTAGAAATTTTCGAAACATGTAAAACTTCAGTTTTAAAAAAAATTTTCTATTTGTTATAACTGTATTAAAATATTTTTCTAAATTATACTTTTTATTAAAATTATATCGTTTTAGTAAAATATATACATACACATATGTAGAAAATAATTGTATGAGAATTTATTGAGCGAAATGAGTTTTAATTTTCATATTTCTTTATGACGACTGCAACTTGTACAGCTTCTATGTAATTGTCAGTTGTTCATATATATGCATAATTATATAAATACAGACATATACTAAATGAGTTATCAATGAAAGCCTCATAAATGTCCAATAAATTTAAATGCTTAAATGTTATTTTTAATAAAAATTTTTCTGACATTTGAAGCTACAGAAACCTCACGTTTGTATATAGGTATACATAGCTATATATACATTTTTGCATTTATATCAAATACTATATTGCATAAGTATGTACGTATCGGTATGATATGGTACTAATCAACGCGTTCCTTTTTAGTGAAGTAACATAAAATAATAAAAGAATAATTTACAAAAAATATAATTAGTTTTGCTACTAAGCACATTACCTTAAAAAATGTATTTTAAATACCTAAGTACATATTCTATAATATGTACATATATTTCCCTATAAACATAAAAGATTTACATAATAATATAATATTGGCACTTATTGAGTATATCTACGCCGAACAATACCAGAAATAGAAATCCTTACAAATTTTGTCTAAAAAGGAAAATTCGTACAATATACGAGTTAATACAAAATTATTTTTATGTAAAAAACATTTCAAAGGTTTCTTGAAAATATTTTAATTTAAAGAAGGACATTATGTAGCTTAAAGTTTAACAAATTTTAAATTTTAAGTTTAATAAATTAAATTTAAAACTGAAGAATATTTTAAGATTAAAAAATAAATAAATTAAAACAACATTAGCATTAAATCTCATTACAAAGAAATTTAATTTTTTTTGTAATTAATGGATTTTGTGACATACATTTATAGCTATGTAGTGTGCGTATTTAAATAGCGCGGGGTGTGCATACTCTGTTTAAATTAATCAAATCAAATAAAATCCATGAACAATATTTGTTTTGTAAACCTTTACTAAATTTAAAACTGCAAATGTAAAACATTTTCACGGATAAAAGAAAATCTGCTTTCAACAAGAGTAAATGGAAGGAACATGTAGAATATACTTTCATATTCTACTATTTGATCTGAACCCTTTCAGTTATCTTCAATTAAATTCAAAAACAAAATTCATCAGAGAGGGGGCAGTATGTAAAAGGAGCAAAGGAATATATAAAAAGAATCTTAAATACATTATATATATATAGCTACTTCTCAGGTACCAAAAAGAAGGGCTAGAGACATGGGACAAAAGGCATTAGATAGAGTTTTGCCTCCAGGGTCCCAGAAAAATCTGACATTGGAACTTTTTAGCCCCGAAATAGGTCTATTTTAAGATTTTCTGAAAAAATTTTTGTATAACAAAAGCACGTTTTTCTTTTATACTTTTTATAATTAGAAACACAAACCAAGAAATAAATGATACGTTTTACGTTATTATTAGAAACACAAACCGAGAAATAAATAATATTTGAAAATTATAATGATCTCACATATTTTTGGTTCGGAAAATCGAAATAATTTTAACGTAAATAAATGTTAGCTTTTGTTAAAGACATCAGATGTTTTGTGGCATCTGAATAATAATGCTTCATTTGTTGTTGTTTTCAATATTATGTTTCGTCACCAAGCTTTAAAAAAATATTCATACAGAATTTAATATATGTATGTACGTATGTATGTAGTTAGAATTTTATTTTTATTGTTCCAAGCGAAAAACTGTAAAATGCTAAATTTTAATACATTCATATGTACATACATATATTTGAATAAAATTATTATTTTGTTTTTGCCTAAACCTTTTCTTTATTTTAAAAATTTATGATTTAATAATTATGTGTTTCTATATGCCA